ATGTTTACAGGAAGATTAGGCGCATACAAAATCAGCCGGTATAGTTTTATAATCGGTCTATTTGTGCAACATTTCCCACATTTGCGCTTATTTCATATTTTTATCATTTATGCAATTTCATGGCATTTTTTTCATTACTGCGTTTCTGCACATTTCCGATGTGACATATTTCTAGTGTGTATGTGTAAGGTAACGCCGGCTAACATTGACAGGGGGATAACATTGACACATTTTCAAATATCCCGCCCAATGCTTCTGTGCTAAAGAAAAAGGACAACCTGATGAACTTATAATTTCGTGTATAGTATTGCCCTCTAGTAAGAATTGTGAAATTAAGCAACGCAGTTTCCTGTTTTTGTATTTAAGTCATTAATTAAATGTGTTGATAAACCACCTGTTTCTTAGACAATCAAATCTTTGGTTATAGAGCACATCATAGTGTGTTTTAACTTTGTTTGTGTGCGGTAAGTTGTTTTAAACATTTAATCATAAAATTATTGGTATATTTTGTTATAATTTGCATTATTTAACAAAATTTTAAAAAACCTCACTTTGAGGTTAAGATTGTCATGTGTCAATGTTACACTATTGCGACATGTCAAATAAGTAACAACATTGAAGTAGCGGTTATTTCCAGTTGAAATGTCGAAATCAAAGAGGGCTTATAAAACATATACTGAGGAAAGAATGGAATTTGCTGTGAATTGTGTTAGGAACGATGGTATTAGCATAAAGCGAGCTTCCGAAATGTTTGCAATTAATCGAACAACTTTAATGAATCACATAAAAAATCACAAATGCGCGGATGTAGGAAGACCTACAGTACTTACTCAACATGAAGAGCAATTTATAGTTCATGCTTTAACCAGATTAGCAGATTGGGGGTTTGGATTAGATCGCCATCAATTAAAAATTTGCGTGCAAGGCTCGACAGAACTAACCCATTTACAGACGGGATGCCCGGAAAGGACTGGATTGCGGGATTTGAAAAGCGCTGGAAGGATCAGTTAAATCTGCCCAAAAATCGTGCAGAAGCCTGTTCCCTTGAAGTTCTGCAAGATTTCTATGTAAAGATAAAACAGTCAATCGAACGTAACAATTTAGGCAACCGGCCACAAAATATATTCAACTGCGATGAGTCTGGCTTTCAAACGGATGATCCAAAAAATATTATGTCGTAAAGGATCTAAAAATCCCCATAGGGTTGTAGGCAGTGTGACAAAAGCAACATATACAGTCTTAGTTTCCTGCAATGCCATTGGTGACTACTTGCCCTTATTTGTAAACTACAAAGGTTTGCACCTATATTCAAATTGGTGCCAAAACGGTCCTGATGACGCTGTTTATAACTGTTCGCCATCTGGATGGATGGAGTCACAACAGTTTGCGAACTGGTTTGAAAATGTGTTCATAAAACATACAGCAAAACTAGAGGGAACTAAGCTCTTAATATTTGATGGTCATAACTCACACCTTACTATTCCATTAATCGAAATGGCGTGTGCAAATAACATCGAGCTTTTCTGTCTGCCGGCTCACACATCTCATGCATTACAGCCATTAGACGTCGGTGTGTTTAAAAGTGTGAAAACTGCATGGCGCAATGTCTTAAAGGATTATTATCGAGATACGGGTTGCAAAAATGTTGACAAAGTCACAGTTCCTTCACTGCTAAAAAAACTAGTCGACAAAGATTGTTTATCTAGAGCAAATGCCATTGGGGGATTCGAGGGTGCTGGTATTTATCCTCTAAATCAGGAGAAAATATTACAGAAATGTGAAACATCAACTGTGTTGTCTACTCAAAGTGAAGCTTCTAACTCTACACCTCGCGATCCATCAGACGACATTACTTCCTCTACTTCAACTACAACTGTTCAGGAAGATTCTGATGTTTCTCTGAGGAGTTTGGAACTCTCACTTTTGACCGCATTAAAAAGACAAGAAAGGCCACGTGAAAACCAAAAAAGAAATAAAGTCCGCCGAAAATTTGCTGAGAGCCTCACTAGTGCAGAGGTGTTGGAACGAATGCGTTTTGGCCATAATGAAAAGGGTTTGAAGAAAAATAATAAAAGGCCGACGAGGAAACAGACCAAAAAAACCGACAGCAGTTCTGAGAGTGATGAGGTGATTTTACCAATGGATGAAGATTCTGATTTAGATGCGTCAGAATTCGAAGACGAACAGGATGAGAATCACGATCCAACAAATTATGGTTGATTCTTGGATTCTGGTCAAATTTAATGTTGATAACCATCGTGCGCCTAAGAAGGAAGTTCATCATTACGTTGGAAAAGTAACAGAAATAGTCTCAAAGGACCATGAAGTCGCGGTTACATTTTTAAGAAGAAAGGAAAAGTGTTTTGTTTATCCCAACGTTGCCGACGAAGCCACCGTATTGTTTACAGACATAGTTAGGGTGCTCCCAACACCTAATATTCGGCGAGGAATGCACACATTTAATACAAATTTGTTATATGTTGATTGTGGAAAAGAAATCATCATTTCTTAAGTATTTTATGTTCAAATAAAAAAATAAAAATTCAAAATAGCATTTAGTCAATTTATTTTATGTCAATGATCTACTACAGGCGTAAACATTGACTATTAATGGAGATATGATATAGTGTCAATGTTATCGCCATAGGCGGGGGTTTTAAAAAAAAAAATTTTTTTTATTGCTAGATAAAGAAACGAATCGTGAAAATTACTTCGGGGTATTTCTAATATAGTCCTATCAAAGGGCGCGGAAAATTCCCACAAATTTTTCCGTAGATTTCGCATGGCGTTCACCAAATATTAAAAAAAATCTGCATTCTCATCTTCCATGCTAAAGATACCCAACGGTATTATATTTAGACGTATCCGGAATTGTAAATGAATTCCTTTCATCATAAAGGCACTGTAAGCACCAAAATTGTACTTTTTCATAAAATGATCGACGATCTTTCATTTTTCTCTCTTGTAACATTGATAAAATTGTTATGTTTAAAATTGATAGATATAATTGATTTGATGAAAATATCCATGTATTTTAAATGGATTAGTGTTTAAATTAACTCTAGGTTTAGGATGCCAAAAACTGAACTAAATATATGTAAAGTTTAAATGTGTTTCGTTTTACACTAATTAATTGTTAAAGTAGGTAAACTAAATGTGTTTGACAAATTTTTTAACACTAGCACTACCGTATTGAAGTGTAAATTGCTAAGATTTGTACAAGTTACATAAATATGAATTATGCCCGTGTATTAAAAACGTGTCAGCGTATAAAATTTGAACGATGCTTTAAGGGAGGTGTTGCAAAATTTATTTTTTCTCCAACCACCTGAATAAGACGCTATTTTGTGACAGTGTTCGGTACGTAAAATTGACGTTTTGCGGATTAATCGTTTTCACCATGGCAACTGTACAAAAAGTAGATACTTTTGGTCCTAGTACCAAAAAGAAATTGACCTTGAAAGTTGGCCAATTAAAAAATTACAATCACGGAGATATGTCACATTGACATCGTTTTACATTGCAGGTTATAAGATATTTCTATACATACAAATCAAATCTTTTTGCATATAAATGCAAATAATGATGTCACCTATACGTATGTACATGTATTGAAAATGATTTACGCTCGCTATTTTTATTTAAACCATGTGTAACGTAATTTACATATTCGATGAACGTAATTTTAATACGTATACAACCCGCCGTCGCGCGTAACGCCATCTACTTCAGACCCCTTGCACTATTATCTGTCATTTTGAATTCAAAATTTGAAAAAGTTTATTGCAATTAATTTTAATTAAAAAAACTGTGGTAAGTTTTTTATTTCAATACAAAATATAACAATATTAATTGTGTATACAATAAAATGACTGAAACTGATAGCGACATGGATTGCACTCCGCCAGAGATTATAGAAACGGCAGAACATGCTACCTCAAGATTTGCTCCCTACAAAGTCGCGAGAGGTGAGAAGTAAGAAGTCAGAACGAATAGGTTATAAGTTAACCTAAAAACTAGAGTGGCATGACACGTGAGGACAAGAAAGCAGAAGTTCTTATACTAGTAGTGAAACTGTGACTGAATCTAAATTCGAATATAATTTGAAGTAAAGGGGGTTGGAGAAAAAATTTTATGTTTTATTCGTACAAAAAATGCGTTTTCGGGACTCGGAAGGTTGCTGGACTCCGCTAACGCGTCGTCCAGCAACTATCTTCCTCGTCCCGAAAACTGACATTTTTTGTACTAATGAAACAAATAACTATTTCGTACTTCCGAGACTAAAGTGACAACTTCACTCCATTATGACAAGTACTGAAGTGTCACTTTTTGTCCCGCCGGGATTAAATTTGGACGAAAATCCCGGAAGGATGAAATTACTAACAAGGCAATTTCAGTAGGTTGTTCCACATTTTGTATGCGGCACTACTTCTTAAAAGCATCGTACTGCTGCTCATAGTTTTTTGGATTTCGGTGGTATCAATTCTTTACCTACTTTGGCTGCTCTTTTATCAATATACACCTTTGTCACCCACCACCAAAATTATGACACTAGCAATGACAGTTTCCAAATTATTTTGTTACCATAGCATAGGGATTGTCGTACCAACGCAACGTTCCTATGGTAACTTGTTAAGCAGCGATTTTTTGAAAGAACGCGTTCTCTAACTCCATACATATTTAAGTGTTTCAGTTTCGGAAGTACAAAAATATCGTATATACCTTGCGACTGAAGTAGTGGTCTTAATCCCTCAGGTAAATTTTACTAAACTAAACTTTACCTTCGGGATTAAAAGTACTACTTCAGTCCCGCGGTATATAATATACTATTGGAAAAAAGTATTGACGCAGTTGATACGATCTGTTGGGTTGCGGTAGGAAATTAATTCACACTATCAATTTTCTTTTTTGGTGTAATTTAATTCGACCCTGTTGGATATAAATTTCAACGCCACGTTGAAAATTGAGGATGAGGTTAATAACGTACATTTTATTTTCAGACTGAAATTGCCAAGAGACTGAATGCCATAATAGCACAAATCCTACCTTTTTTATCGCAAGAACATCAACAACAAGTAGCAACAGCAGTGGATCGAGCGAAACAAGTAACCATGACAGAGCTGAACGCTATAATTGGGGTAAATATTTGTTTAATTTTAACTGCCTCTCGCTATTACACACTGATTGTAAATGTTTGTTATGTTTTACCTAAAAAACGTCGTTTCATTAAAAGTTGACGCTGTCGTAATTTAGAACGTCTGGAAATTTATTATTTAAATTGGACGAAGCGGGCGAAATGTAATAAACTGCAAAAGGACTACCCTCCAAACTTGCAGGTTAATAAATTCGATAATTATAATAAGGTTGCTTACGTTACCGTGACAATCTATCTCGAGTAATCGAGCAGCGAAGTGTATTAACCATTAACCGTAATTGGTTGAAAATTGAAATTCGTATCGCGTCAAATTGTGATGGGGTTTGTAATTCGCATGCAGGGTGTATCGGCGAATAGTGTATCGTTTTGGGGTGGCGGCGCGGTAAAGGGGAGAACAAGCGAGGGATGTACAAGCACGTGTTTACCGATTGTTTGCTTTTCTGGTTTGTTGATTCGCACTCTATATTTTAACATTATTTACTTTTTTCTGTCGTTTATGCGGCTTGTGGGGTTACGGCCGAATTTAAATTCAATCTTAAAAGATTACCCCTACTTTGTCTTTTTTAAAAGATTTTTGCCGGGCGCATTGAGGGCGGTGCGGGCGCTATGTAAATTAGTTGCATAAAAATTACAAGGAAATTGCGGAAAACATAAAATTTGTAAATGTTTCACGTACAAAACCGAATTCGAGAGGAAAAATTTTTTATCGTCACAAAGAAAATTGCAAGCAGGCAGAAAATTATTCATGCAGACTGTAACAACACTATTAACGCTGATGAACAAAAAAAAACGAAGCGTTTTTCAATTAATTAAACAAGCAGCTCGGGAGCTGGAAAAATGTAATTATAATGAAATCCATCATCCCCAAGCGGCGCAACCCTCTCTGCCGCTGGTTAGGAAGTAAGGGGCGCCAAAAAAATCAATTTGCAAGCTCTCAGCAACGCGCAATTTAAATAATGGCTGCTTCAGCGAGTCAACTACGTTTTTGATGCTCAGGTAGGGATGTAAGTGAATGATATTACTGGCCGAATGGATTTCCACCCAGATAAAAATATAACTTCTTGTCACGTGTCTTGGATCCATTCTACTCAATTTAAAGTTGAACTTGCGTTTACACTACATTTACAGTTCACAAGTCCTTTGCTCTTATGGAAACAAGTCTACATACCGACGGCGGCGTTACGCTTTAAAACATGTTTTTCTTTTTGAGATGTTAAAATATCTCTCATTGACTAAAAACTTTGTAACTTACGAATACAATGAATGACATTTATTTTTAATATTTTCAGCAACAAAGGCCGGACCTACCCAGATTACTGCAGCAAATGCACGCTCAGCAACTTCCGACACACGCCGCACCGCCAATACCAATGATGCCACACCCAAGCCTTGCTGGGGCACCTCCAAGCTCGGCCGCGAGCTTACTTGGCCTTTCGGGTGCTTTAGGAGCTCCCGGACAACATCCACTTTCCATGTTAGCCGCTAAGCCTGATTTACATCGGTCAGATGATGTAAAATCAACTAGTGGTGAGTTTTAGGTCTTTTATGTTTCAGTTTTTTGGTTGCGATTAAGCAACACTTTTTAAATGTTTGCTATTTCTTTTTAATATTAAGGGAGTTCCATACACTATGTACGTTTGACAGTAATTTATTGTTGCGGCGCGGCGCCTGGTTCGTACAATTCGTTAGCCAAGCAAAAAATGTTTATTAGCTAAGATGAGACAGACGGACGGGCAGGTATGAACCAAGTTATTCGCCTAAAAACCAAGATAAATTCATTTTATTGTTGATTCTTCAACGGCGTGTGTTGGGATGTGGAATTAAGGGAATGATGTTAGTGTTGCTCTTGCTTTTGGATTCCATGTGGTACACTACCCCCACTCTGGGCTTTGCAATCGTTTTTTGAGAAAATATAGCCAAACAAACCATCACATAAGAAGCAAGAAACATGATTTTGGCGTCCGTTATCAGTATCTTATAAGGATTCCGTGATTAGTTAGAAAATGAAGGTGGCGTCCGCTGTTGTTTTTGTAGGCCAGTAGAATAAATCCATAAAATTTTTGGACCACCCGTTCCCATACTCTCATTGAAGTTGAATAAATTTTAAACATCTATGAAAAACGTGTTATTACACTATATTAAACATAGTACGATAGCACTCCTTTGTACTAATATTGAAGCACAATTTATAGTTATAAGTATGAAGAAAAGAGAAAACTAGTTAAGAAAGTGGTCACTTGCGACCGACGAAAGCGCATTTTTCCCGTACAAAATCAGTAATAACTCGGAAAGGAAGTGACCAATCCAAATAAACTTTTGTCGTTCTGGTCTCTGGGCTGTACTACACCATATAAGAAAGAAACCACAACGAAAAAGCTTAAACTGGAGGAATAGTAGTGGTACAGACGGACAAAGTGCGGACAATAGCATTTATTTTCTTTTTGGAAAATGTGCTAAAAATAGATATACATTTTTTTGCTGGACTGATGTCACATTCATTGACGTGGAGAAATATGAGTGGTCTTCTGATATTTGCCCGTTTCCCTTTCAGGTTTTGAAAAAATATATGTTTCCTGATGGTGTAGCAAACTGATAAGACGTGCTTTATTCTTGTCATTGGGAAGGGATTGCCCCTGAGCCCATCATTAAATCGGAGATGACCTCAGGAGTAGTGTATGTTTTGCTTCAGCGGAGGCGCTCGGCAGATTTTATTTTCTTGGTTGACAGGTCTTCTGGGTAACCAATTAAACACTACACTTGCTGCGCTTTGGTGGGATTTTAGTTAAATATAATATACACAATAAATGTCACTTGGTCCACCTTTAAAGTGGAAATTTACGGAAACGGGTGATCCAAAAAAACCACTATTGATCTTGTCGAACGCAGAATTTATTCCTCTATAACTTTTGTGTAGACCACTTTATTGATAGATGGGTTTAGATGGTACGGCTAAAAAGCAGAAGTTACAACGAACAGTTTTCATAAATTAATAAAAATAAATAAATGAAGCCACCACTAAACCAATAAAACCTTCTGTATCCGTGCGCAAAAACTGTTTCATAATTTTGTTCTAAACTTTGCAAGGCATTGAGTTTAAGTCTTTTCGAAATAAAGTATCTGGTCGAGGTCGAGTTTGGACAACTAACATTGTAACTTACATTACGGTTTTGAAAGGGTGTTAAACACTACTTTTTGATTCAGTTTTACAAAATCAGAACAGTCATACCTGAAAACCTAGGTCAATTCGTTCGGGATTGAATGAGGTGCACCAAACATTCCCGTGGATCCTCGATAATCAAATGGTTTCATTAGAAATTCATGGGATTTTTGCGGACATCCCCCGAAACAGAGCCTACTATAAGTACCTAGTAGGTAATCTTAAACACTTTTCGGAAATCCGAAAGTTGCATAACTCTTAGGAACCGTTTTTCGCACTATCGGCTCCGTAGTACTTACATTTCTTGAGAGTGAAAGCGTTGTAATTTATTCAAAAAATTTAATTTGGAAGAAACAAATCGCAGCAAACGCATCAGTAATGAAAAAGTTTGTAATATGTTCATTTATAACTCTACCAAGCGGCAGATTTAGGTAATATCCTCCTACCTCGAGTTACCATGACAACGGTCCCAGACAAGCGGACAGGTCAAAGTATGATCTCTGATCTCATAATAATGATTTCTTCGTAAATCAATTCGGAAGAGGAAGCGCGCCCAGGGTGTTATCATGCGTTGGAGAAATACTTTACTGTTCTTTACCGTAGGGCATTAAGACATGAAGGTGTCAGGTGAAAGCTTATTGTCCTCCCCCTGTATTACTGCATTCTATGGCCCATGATACCCTCTCAAGGTGGAAAATTCGACTACTACAGTTTTCAAGGTAGTGCCTTCGGACATTTTCAGCAGAAGTTCATAGCACTAGTACTTTACGTGTAGGCAACTTGAGTATGCAAAACCCGATGACCGCATTCTGCCAATTGATTTCAGTTCAGAAAAGCTTGTAGATTAATAATTCGGATGATTTGTGAATTTTTTTTATTAACAATTAACCTTTAATTATGTTTATTTATTTAAAAAAAAACTAATAATTGTCGCTAAAATAATTATAAAAATAGATATACAGTGAATTTTTTTTAAATGCGAACATAGGAGTTTGCATGTAATGTAATTTCCCTAAGATCGATTTAAAAAAAAACACATCAATCTATTGAGTAGTTCAAATGAGTAGTAGATACAATTGACAGCTGTCACATTTTTTAAAATACCGCCGTCCAATTTAATTACGAAATCGGTTAGGTTATTGCCTAGAATGTCAAGGAGGACACTTCGAACATTTATTGTAATTGTTTTCGGTATTTATTTTCTTATTTTCTTCATTTATGTATTGAATAGATCAAATTAGTAGTATACCAGGTGCACATGACCTACAAATAATTGAAGGTTGGTTCACAATGAGTTGTGGTGTCAGCGCGTGGCCTGTGAGGTCAAGTGATCGTAAGAAAAATGTATCCTAAAGTTGCTATGGCCTCACATGAATCCTTTAAAAAAATCTTACCGAGTGCTCTTCATTATAAAGACTAGAGTTGCTGTTCATAGTCACACAAGTTGCGCGATTTGGGATTGTGAACCGCGCACACATCATAGATTGATGTGTTTTTTTTTAATCGAACATAGGGAAATTACATTGAATGCAAACTCCTATGTTCGCATTTAAAAAAAACTCACTGTATAACATGCGCTCAATCAACTAACTCGCAGCGGAAGAGGAGGGAGTATAAAAAAATCCAATCAATAGGTTTCCGAATTATTGCTTTACAAGCTTTTCTGAACTGGGATCAATTGGCAGAATGCAGTCCTCTGGTTTTGCGTACTCAAGGCCATCCAGCCCCCGGTCTATATCGTTTACGAATACATTTTTACTTGGTTAATAACAATTCAAATTATTCAAAACATTTGGTTTGAAATCAGTTCCTTTATCTTTTGATATTGGAATATTTTGGTACCTTTTCTAGTTCTAATAGAAAATACAAAATCCATACACCAATTTTCACAAAATGTAACGTTAAGTGTAAATATTTCATAAAACGGCGTTAAAGGTGCTCACGCACCCCCAACTATACAAATACAATACAAATATACAACAAATTTGATCTCGACGAAATTTTGTTCCAAACGCGTTTTGGAATATGACTCAAATTGAAAACTTTTTTTTACGGAAATATACGTTTTAGAGCACCAGGAATCCGAATCAAACAAAATCTCGATGATGTCGGTATGTCTGTACTCTGATTTCCGGTTAAATGGCTGAACCGATTTGAACGAAATTTGGTACACATATTTCTATACAGAAAAGGAAGAGCTGAAAAGATTTTGGTAGACTGCCGTAGGTGTGCTAGCCACAGCACATTTTTTTGGTAATCTCTCATAATTGCAATTGAAAGTGCGTTATAACTGATAACTTCAAAAAGTTAAATTGTGCTTTAATTTCCATATTTTATTAAATCGTAGGGTGTTTTTATATAAATAGAGAATAGCTAGCTTGGTTAAAAAAGAAACCCTCATTTTTTGATAAAATTAACGAAACCTACGTAACAAAATGAAAGCAAAGCTTCTTTATTAGGCGGATTGTATTCGCACATTTGGTTGGTCTGCTTTCATTAGATGTGAGAATTGAAATTTGTCGAATTTGGTTTGATTAAAAAAAATGTCTCGCCCGGAAACGTCCAAAAATAATAACATCACAACCATTATATCAACTACAGCCAAAGTTAGAAAGCACAAATTGCTTCAAATTAGAGCTGACATTAAAATTAAACTTTGTATGCCATAATTGAAAGTCATGCGTTCGCCTGATTCTGTTATATATTGAGAAATAAGGAGCAACTGAATTGTTTCATTCGCTTAATTTAGCTAGTTGAGCTTAATAGATTATAACTTCATACGTGGGTGGCATTTAAATAATTTCTTGTTTTAGTCATGCCGTTAAGTGTAATTAAAGTTTCCACACGCGTTCATCGTCCAAATCTATGCAGTTGTCCGAATTCTAAATTAATCTCGAAACTAACGAGAGTGTCTTACAAATTAGTCTATCAGAGAAATTAGAGCAATTTAAACCATCAATTGATTTTAGTGTAGGATTTATCATCTACTACGATTCTTGTGTTGGTCGCCGCTATATGAAAGTCGCATTTTCCATCAATCGTGAATGTAAGTGACCTATTATATTCAATTAAGGCATTTTAAGTTTTTAAGGGTCCATGATTGCGATTGTAAGATAGATCCTGATGATGATTGCATCGAAACTAGTACTAATAATTTAAATTTTCTTAATTGTCTGTGGGGATGGTTTGGATTTTTAAAAGCCTGGATAAAAAAAAAATCAAAATACAAAATAGAGAAAAAAACATAACTTCAGTTGGATTTCTATTTACGAAAAGCGTTTTCGGGATATGAATAAATAAAATATGTTTGTATTATTTGGCTCAAAAAGGCAGTTTAATTGATATCATATACACACATTGTATGAATGGAACTCCCTTAATTTTTATTTTCTGATCATGACTTTATTTTTGCATTTTCATTATTAAATTGCAACTGATAAATTACTGTGGATTTCACATAAATCGGTTAGGGCAATATTCAGACGCTAATGTATTTTCCTTTTGTTTCATGTTCTTTTCGTTCACGCGCACTTTTGGACCGTTGTGGCTCTGTTGGCTATTGCAGGGATTAATTCTGCCGAGGAACGTCATGTAAGTTTACTAACAACAATATAACCTAGCTTTATGAAAGCTAATAACGCGAAACGATTAGATTTGAATAAATTATGCCTCGAGATATTACATTTTTAATTTTTGCTGCTGTAGAAGGGTGCAACCCAAAATTGAACAACAACACCAACATGTAGGGGGTCTAACGTTGGGCCTATTATGAGGGACTATAACCGAGGGGTAATAACTAAAGCGTTACTGTAACAAGCGGGTCCTTAAACAGATGTAGAGGGTAAATGGAGGATGGTAAAACATCCCTGGTATAGTTAATTCCATAATAGCATAATAGAACATGTGACGGCGTGAACTCGTGTGCATAACTAACCCTCTCTATAGGAGGGTATGTGTCATCAAAATGTAATATGGGTCGTAAGTGTATAGAAAAACCTGGTGTATTATTTGCGCACGTTTAGATAAGGCCTTTTCGCGTTAAAACAAAAAAGCTTGCCGATAAAAATTTCCCAGTTTCAGTACAAACATGGAACAGTTGTTTCGATACAATCCCGTCTCTAATCTTGAAGAAGCTCTCCCTTGCGAGCCTAATGCAGCCGTGATTTGTCACCCCTTATTAGGGAAACAACCCCTGTTTTACACCCTGGGGTTATGTGCGTCGAGTGACACGAACGGATGTGACTAAATTGTAGACACTGCTGGACTTAATTGAATAATGCGCACTTTTTGACATTCGACAATTTATGACGAATTATGCACGTTTTTCTATGTCCGATTTGTTACAAAGATACGATCGATTGGTCCATCACTTTTTTGGTAGCATCTAGCACATCGTGGGAAAATTCGCCTGTTTCGGTTAGACGCAATCGTTTCCACGAAATCATTTAGGAATGCTTGAAGCGAGGCTCTCCTCGGTTGCGCCTTACATTTATGTAAAGTTATATTTATAAGGTCGATGTTATGCAAAGGGAAAGAGAAGCAAATTAACCCTCAAACCGCAGCGCACACAATACACAACACTAGCTGCGGTTTCGCTGTAAACTCATGAAGCCGGCGGTTAGGCCGTGGTTTGAAGTGAAGCAAGACACCATATCGCGATTGAGCCGGAGTAAATCCACCCCTGCAATAGGAATTGTTAATAAAGCAATTCGTAAACATCCTTGCCTGCCGTGCCACCAGAAATCATAATGCGAGGAGGAACATGCAAATGAAGGCGCAATTACCGAAATGCCGCAAATTCTCCGGATACAGCAGCTGGTTACCATAAAATTATTTTGTTTCAGTTGGGGTAGACATGAAAGTGGATTTAATATGTATATGTTCTGAATTTGCATAGAAGAGGATGCTTTATAAAGTAAATAAGTAATTCATTTCACTTGTAGATTATTAATTTGAGAATCTTAAAAGAAAACGTAACACTTTCTAAGTGACAAAATGTTTTATCCTTTTTATAGTCGAAATTAACATATCTTTTTGAGTCTCGACATTTCGTGCGTTTATAGCTCTACTAATTGAGCTTGCTTACTATCTATATACTAGGATCACTTTAATATTTTCGGAACAGTAGAGAAACAATATACCCACTCCCTACGAACTTCAATTTCAGCAAACGATGGCTCTTTGTGCTAAACATACTGGACAATCGGGGACTTGTTAATGCCCCGTTGGCATAGGCAACAATGCCATGAAGGGTTTTTTTGGCATGCGGAAGAGAGATGTAACGAATCAACAAAGTTGCTCACTAAATCGCCAATTGTGAATATTTCAATTAGTGACTATGCACAAGCACATTACTGTTCGATTTGTTCCATTGAGTTTAAGAACTATTTGATCAGAAATAAAATTTGCAATCAATGTTTCTATCCTCGACCATAACGAGCCACAAGGACAATATACAGGGTCGCAAGTCTGTATTGCGACCTAGCACTTGTGGCGGCGCGAAAAGCTTTTCATTATTTTGAATAAATCATACATACATAATTTATTTGCCAAAAAATAATGGCTCACAGTGAACTTTTATCCCGCAGACTGTAATACTTGTTACTCATACGCGATTGTGAGCAACAGTGGGTTAAAAAGTTCTCCTCATCTCTCCCGAATTGATTAGCGAACAGCGCCCAGAGTGATTAGCCCCAGGAGTCGGGACCCTGTCCTTGTGTTACCGTAATTCCATCTGCGTGCTTTCTCACACTTCCACGAAATTGTTTATTAAAACGGATGGAAGCCGGAAGGGGCAGCAACTCGGGCAGCAATCTGACATTACCTACCATGATTTCCATTCTTATTCTTTTGGAGGTTACCGGTTTACATTAATTTTAACAAAAATTCAACTTCAAATCTTAGTTCACCAGCCAAGGAAAAAATAAAAATATAAATAGCATATAAAGTACACTTCACCCCCACCCCCACCTACCAAAGTGGAGCATTTATATGACTGTGGGGGTGTCAGAAGTGGATATCAACAAAGGAAATGTGGTAGCCCCCGACAAGATGTTACTGATGGTGGAGTTAAAACTTTAAACACGAATTGCGGGTGAATGGGACTTTGGGAGTGGGTACCGTCAAAGGATATGTGGTAGCCTTGTTACTTTCACTTTGGGGGAATATAACAAAATTGCCTTTAGATAAGCACACGGTACGCTCAGGAAAAGTAAATGTAGCAAAAGAAAATATAATAAACCGGATAGTCGCCACTTACTAAATTATTAAATTTCAACAGAGAAAAAGAATAGGGGGAACAAGAGAGACTAAGAGATCCTTACGCTGGTCTTGATAAGCTAAAAAAATAAAATAATCGACAAAGTAGAACATTAACAATAATTGTGGCCCCTAATTGAAGATGATTTAATAAATGATCTCAAAGTATTACAAATAGAAAACTGTAAGATTAGATCTAAAATGTCAACGTTAAAATTTAACTTAATTTTTAGCAAAAAAAATTCGTAGTCAAGATCGATATCAAAACAGGCTTCCGCAGAAACCAACGGAGCTATATAATTATAAATTACTATTCAAACAAATGTAGTAATTAAAATTCGATTGTATCGAAAACCAGTATGTAATCAAACGTTATATCAAGGAGTCGTCGCAAATAAAATATAACATTTAAACTCTGGTCTTAACGGCCTTTTGAACTCAAAAGGATGCTTTTCTGTTATCTGTAACGGATTAAATACACAAACAAAAAAACAAGAGAAATAGTGCACATACATATTGCTATAACAATGTCTATCGTGCGATACCATTTCGATACTAATCAGGTAACACGAATAGTAAAACCGTAATTAACACTCAATAAGAACCGCTAATTCAATTTACCTACTAAACAAAAGCAGAATTTTTAATGACGACGAATTGTCCGCACAAATCGGATATATAATAAAAGTATAAACGTGACGTTAACTTCAAGAAAACTACGTTACTATGCCTTCTTATAACAAACTAATCTGAAGGGTACAACGTAATCAAACTAACAGGAATGAATCATCGGAGCGACAAAATTATGTATGTAGAATTAGAAGGATCGAAGCAGTTCACAAGAGCAATACTCTCCAAAAGGTTTCGTAAATATTTGCAGTTAAACAGGGACAGTATTCACGTATATTCGAAGTAAGTAGGTTGGTCGCCCGCGGTTTGCACCAATAATATCGATATCTATAGATAGCAATAATCAGGTAGACAATAATGAAGAAAAGAGTAAATTAGGATAAAGAAAAGTAACTACGCAATTGTAGGTAAATACCGTAAACGGCCTTAGAACTTAGACAACAAATCACAAGAGAAAAACGTCATCAACATAGAGCTATTAAAAATTCTTTAAACAGGCATGACGAAAGTCGAAGAAAAATGGCGTGCATCTTCTACAAGTATATGATCGAATCTGGTTTCATACAGGGAATGCCTACGCAGGAAGAAAACAGGATCACGGAAACATCTGCATGACCTCTAGCGGCGAAAATAAAGAACTATTGCAAATGAAACCTATAATACTCATCTAACTACATCTGACTAAACAGGGTTATAAAGGAAATACCTAGATAGTGTAAGAATAACACTTTAAATAAGAGTATATTTAAATTGTGAAGTAAATGAACGTTACAGCCTTCGACAAGTTCTTATTGATAGTGGAGTCAAAAACTGGCTAATAAGAATACTAATCTGCCTCACAAAAATGCGTTTCGTCCCTGCGAAGACTATTTTTTTAAATTTAAATTGTAATACGGGAGAGATGGTGTTGGTGGGCAAAAGGGTAACAGTACCTCCGAAACGTCACAGTGTGCTTATGTTTTTCCTATACAAAACTTGCCATTGATCAAATTAAACCAAAAGTTTTGCTCTTTAACTGCATCATAACACCAAAATATTACAAATGAAACCAGAGGAATGAATATTTTTTTTACGTTTTTGTTAAAATAGCTGGGCGAAATATTCGCACTATTTAATAATGGTCCCTCTTTTATAATTATCCGAAAATCCATTTGGAAAAAATTAAAAAAAGATGTTTTTCAAGGCTGCAATCATAAAACTATAGGGATATTACTTTAAAATTCAACATATTTTGCACATTCGATGACAAATACTTTACATAACGTTTCTTTATAACGTTGTGAATCACAATATAGATTGTATTATTAGTGCATTATTATCAATGATATGTCTTTAACCGCAACGTTGTTCTGGTAGTCATAATTATAACCTTTTATTGTAAAACACACATTCCAACTTAGTTTCAAAATCCCCAAACGTGTCATACCTTTAATAAAATATCTGAACATGTTATATAATACGACTCTTATGCATATAAAACAGTTCTTTATTAAATTTATTTCATTGCTACATTACTTATATGTTATCTTGCGTACCTATTATGATTTATTATTTTGTTATGGTGTCTACACAATATTTGTTTGGTGTTATGTTGTTTTATAAATTTAATTAATTTAAACTTATGTTATTAACACTGTGCCTTTGCGTCTGTTGGTTGAGTAACAATAATAAGTAAGTAAACAAGTAAATAAATTGCTTTTTTT